TTGTAGATGCAAGGTTTACTACACTTCCATGACTGACGTCACGATTGCAGCGTGTATGTGTGGGGGTGGGGGTGGGTGTGTGTTGTGGGATGAGGTTTTTTTAAGCGTTTGCTCCTCACACCTAAAAGGCAGGCTCAGTACCCCACATGGGTAGAATGTGGGAAGCCCATATCTGGTGTCCCCGCCGTGATAATGCTGCAATATTGCTAAAAGCGGCGTAAAACTACACTCACTGGATAAAGTGACACCAAGTCACCGCAGCAGCCAAAGATCTCTCCATCCTGGTTCATTTAGCTCGAAATAGGACACTCATTGCAAAGTCTCAGCAACATCTTTCTGTGAACACCTGGTATCATCACTATTCGATGCGTAAACGCATGGTCAGTATATAGTCGCAAACGTTAAATCGGATAAACTTTCATCAGAAATCAGAAAGGATGTGGACAGAGTTTTGACGCTTATATTAACATCCTGTATCTGCCCAGATTCTCTTTCATCCTTTACGACCTGCCGAAATCCGAAGACGACGTTCAAACTGCGAGCGTTGGTGTCATTTTACCTCAACGTAAGCGACTTCAGCGGTTGCAGTCGTGTGGATTATGTCATCAGTAGTAGACTAAGATTTTGATTGATTGAAGATTCCCGATCCCCAAATCCAAGAAGATTTCGACTGTGTATATCGGCGACTGAATGAAGGATATACCGAATATTGCGGACGAGGGGTCAGCAGATTCGGTGGAGGAAGTGTCATGATGTTTGAAGCCCTCTCTTATCGGGGAAACAGATATTGCTCATACCAACGGCAGCTTAAAGTGACGAGATCTCACATGCTTGTGCTGTTCCGACTTGAAGTACCAAACGCCATTTTCAACATGACAGACCTCGTCTCGTCACTGAACGAATCTGAACTGATTTCCTGCAAGTTCAGAACATATCCGTACTTCCGCGGCCGTCTCGATCACCGGACGGAGCACAATTGAGCATCGGTGTGATGAGCTACGTTTACGTCAACGTCAACCACGGCCACAGGATCTGTAGCAATTACGACGATCACTTCCGGACAAATGGGCTGCCATTTCAGATGTTGACAACGACAGACATATTGCTTCCATGGGCAGGATGTGGCGTGCAGCCGTTCAGGTCAGTACATGGTGACATAGCAGTTGGTTTTCCGACTCTTCTGTTTAAAGTTAAAATATGGTACTTGTTGGTACTATATTGTCCCTGCCTGGCGCTCGGCATTAATGGGTACAACAAGGACTTGTCGGCTCGGAGTCAGTATAATGTGTCTGAGTGGGGTATTCATGCTTAACTGTGGTATGGTATCTCAGTGAGTTAGCACTATAAAACCAGTTTAAGTCTGGGCTAGTACAAGCAGCCGCACATACACATACACACGCATGCACGTCGTCATATGAGCGAAATAGTCTCAAGTACCATTAAACCCCATTTACCTCACACCACCTGTTTAAAGTTGAGTTGAGTTGAATTTCACGTCGCATCGGCATTATTTCAACCAGACCAAGTCTGCATACATACATATTTTCAGTATAAAGTTTAAACGAGATTCTTAAAATACACCGTGGCGAAGCCTAAACATGCTTAGAATTCACCATTAACTCCATTATGAACTCTATTTGGCTTTGTAACCTTCCAAATATGCACGTTCACTTACCGCATTTAAGCCTTATATTAATTGTCATTGAATGAATATTTGAAAAGCCATGCATATGTTTCTCGTTTCAGGAGTTTGGATCATTTTGAAAAGGTATCGTTTGGCATGTGGTTCATGATGGATACGCCAAATAGGTAAATTATACTGTGGCGCTTTGTTCGTGTGATTTCATATTTCAGAGTAAACGTAATGTGTCATATTGACATGGGACGACTGATAGGATGTAGATAAAACGTTAGCTCTCCAAACTCATGGAACCCCTGAAGATCCGGGTTAGAATTGGCCTTCAGCAACCCCTGCTTGTCTTAAGAGGCGACTAACGGGATCGGCTGGTCAGGATCGCTGACTTGGAAGACATATCACTGTATCCCAATTGCGTAAATCAATGCTCATGATATTGATCACTGGATTGTCTGGCCAAGACTATTATTATTTAAAAACCATGAGTACATTTACCAACCCCATCTGCCTCCATCGTTAATCCATGATATCTTACCTAGTTGTTAAGTCCGTGCTCATCAGTCCGCGCAGGTGGCATAAGTACTGCATATCCTCTGATATGAGGATCTACCTGTATTTCCCTGTTATCAGCCAGTTTGTATATTTCATTAGACAGATAGACAGATATAAATTTATGGTTGAATGCTAGTTTTAATATGAATCTGCAATTATTGGACTGTCCTTTGTTGATAGGCTTTTATGTAGTGTAAATGTGTTGATTTTGATGTACAACTTTTTTATAGTCCCAATACGAATGACATACTGTCGATGTGACTAAAGCCTTATTCACTCACTCACTCTTCCCTGCACACGATTAAGGGGTGACATCCCAGCTAACAATTTAACGTCGTCACAACGTTGTCACAATGTTATGCCTTTGTTGTTACAACGCTATTCTGTGGACTCCTATTTACGTAGTCGCAACGTTATTCTGTGGACTTCCATTTACGTTGTTACAACGTTATTCTGTGGACTCCCATTTACGTTGTCACAACGTTTTTCTGTGGACTCCCATTTACGTTGTCACAACGTTATTCTGTGGACTCCTATCTACGTTGTTACAACGTTATTCTGTGGACTCCCATTTACGTTGTCGCAACGTTATTCTGTGGACTCCCATCTACGTTGTCGCAACGTTGTGGCCTGGCGTTATGATACGTCGCCACAAGGTTAACGTTATTTGATACTAACGTATTTTACGTTGTCTTAACGTTCTATTTAACGTTAATTGTTGAATAGTTTTCCCAGCAGTGAACACTACATTAGAAACAAAGCAGAAATTCACATCAATGTTTATTCGTCAATTGCATGTTGTTTTGGTCGTATGTTTTCTGAAGCTGTAGCTGAATAGTGAAGAACGAATCTCAAAGTGAAATGTTTTACAGAAAACACTATGGTGACACCAAGTTATAAGAAACGTTGTTATAACACTGTATTTCATTTTTTATCACAGTGTGTCAGCTGGAGGAGTGTGAGACAGCATGTCAAAGGCATTTCCAGACTGGACGCACAGCACGCGGGTACGTTACCGCCTAAACTATTGAGGTGAGGTGAGGTGAAATTGGGTTTAACGCCGTGCTTGAGAATATTTCGCTCATATGACGACGTGCATGCGTGTGTATGTGTATGTGCGGCTGCTTGTACTAGCCCAGACTGAAGCTGGTTTTATAGTGCTAGCCCACTAAGATACCATGCCACAGTGAAGCATGAATACCCCACTCAGACACATTATACTGACTCCGAGCCGACCAGTCCTTGTTGTACCCATTAATGCCGAGCGCCAGACAGGGACCAACAAGTACCATATTTTAACGTCTTTGTGTATGACGCGGTCGGGGATCGAACCCGCGACCTTCCGCTCTCCGGGCGGACGCTCAAACCACTACACCACGGAAGCGGTCCCTAAACTATTAAGTGAGTTTAGTTTTACGTCGCTTTTAGCAATATTCCAGCAATATCAAGGCGGGAGACACCAGGAATGGGCTTCACACATTGTACCCATGTGGGGGAAAGCGAAAACTTTAACCACTAAGCTACCCCACCGCCCCTACAACCAAAACTAGAACAACGCAGTAACATGTAATAAACTACGGATACTTGAAATAACACGGTGATGTTATACTTGGGTTAGTTGTAATAAGGGGCGGTGGGGTAGCCTAGAGGTTAAAGCGTTGGCTCGTCACGCCGAAGACCCGGGTTCGAATCCCCACATGGGTACAATGTGTGAAGGCCATTTCTGGTGTCCCCCCGCCGTGATGTTGCTGGAATATTGCTAACAGCGGCGTAAAACCAAACTCAGTCAGTCAGTAGTTGTAATGAAAACCGTATTATTACACATATATGATGTGGAATCTGGAATTCTAACTAACAATCAGCCTGTCCTGGTACGGTTAAAGAACGCAATTCTGCATCCTGGGCTTTAAAACATGTTTTATCCACAGGAACACCTCGTTTTGTTTGATCATACCAGGTCTTATTGTCATATCTGCCAAGTTAGCAATTACATTTTGTGCAAATTGCTCTCTGCTGTTTGCATTATTTAACATTGGCAGTGAAATAAGACGCACGACAAATTTTAAAGTTCATTTTTTCTGAACTATGTTTCCTGAATAAACACAAAACTGGTACATTTACAAAAGAAAAGGACTGGTTTCATTGCAGGGGTTATACCCACTGGTAAAACAAACAGTTACTCTCATTATAAAGGAAACGTCAGTTTCGATATCCAGTCATAATCCATACAGAAGCTCTGAATGTCCTTCAAATGATAGACACATTAGCAAACAATTCGCATGATTTGTGATCAGACAGTTTATGGCAGTGTGAATATAAAATCTTAATTTCAAATTAATATTATTCATATGTGAAAGGAGTCTGGTTTTGATTTAAGACTAGACTTGACTAGGGGTTAATATTGGTAATTTCTGATTCCGGCACAACCGAATAAAAGATTCCTTAAACGATATGACATGCCTCGATATATACACGGTATGTTTCAAGTATAGTTTTACTTGACCCGGTATTAAGTATTGTCAACAAATAAGCCACATGTTTGTGATGATGTAAGTCAAAAGATTAAATCAATGTCACATTTTTTAAAGATAGAAAACGAAATTGTTATGAAAATATTTTTGCTGCATCTCCCTCGAAAAGCTACGCACGTTGTGTCGTTACTCCTTACCCTAATCCTAACGAAAGGCAGTGTCTAACGATAAAGCCACTGTGGCAGAATACGACAACAGAGTGCATATTTCGCGCATTACACTGTTCCTCGTAGCATCAGCTGCAATCAGCTGGCCTTTACAAGCAACGGTTGAGCTTGGTAGGGACGGAGGACTATAAAAGCTTGGAACTCGTCTCCAGATTAATTTTTCGAGCTCATTACAGAGGGAGCAAATTCTGAGGGATGCCCTTGGTTAAACATGGACTCGCCTCCAACCTAGAACGGTAGAAACGTCTAATACAGAATGGCCTGGCGGTCGATGGGTTTACTTGGCCCACATTATTGATCTCGCCCAACACTTGTTCAGAATCAATCTCGAATTCCACTGGTATATCCGCCACCTAGCGGCAGCGAGATGAACTACTGGAGAGACGCGGAGCATGCGCGCTCGGGGACACAGTTTTCTCCCAACGTGTGATGTATTTATTTCAAACACATGTTGTAGGGAAATGATAATTGCGCGCACCTCAGCCAAACAATGGCCTTTCTGACGGATTTTTGGGCGATATTTTTCATCGCCTTTCACATTTCTGGGTATGTACAACTCATATATCTCCTCTCATTCATGTATGGCTCGGTGTTTATGTATAGCAATACCGCAAGGGTTTGGACGTTATTGCCTTGTATTCTTTATTTCAGGGCGTCCAAAACGGGTGAACGGTTCCAGAATGTGACGGATACAATAAAGGGGCTTCTGGAAGGGTATGATGTTCGTCTTCGACCAAGTTTCGGAGGTAAGAGTGTCCTCATCTCTATCATTTCCTATATTCTGTCCTTACGAGCAGTATTTGGGCAGCATCGATTGCCAGAGAAGCGGCATTAGGCACACAGACATTTGATAGCGGCAACCTGTCACTTCACTGTTGTGTCTGTGCAAATGATCAGTCAAAACATACAATATTGACACTTGTGCCACAGTCAACCTTCTGTCATGTCAGTTGTTTCACTATATCAGCATAGTCAAGCTTCTATGAACACCGTTCATTTGTATGTCAATATACCTAAAGCTGAGCGATTCTTACTGATTCATCTGCGTGTACTGGTATTCCATGTGTACATATAGTTTCAAAAATCAATATTCTGCAACAGTTTGTTTCATTACAAAAGAAAACATGTGTGTGCAAAACGGTTCTTTCAGGTAGTTTTTAGACATATTGGTGCCTTTATAAAACCATTTTTCATAAAAGATATAAAAGTTAAGCTCTATGATATGATTGGGATAGTGGAAACACGCTGTCATGTTCCTAAAAGACCATTTATAAAAATATTTGTCCTGTTAAAAAGGTTATTGCTATTTTTTTCTAAATGACAGTTTAATTGCTGAACTAATATGAGATGGCGTGCAAACTGTTCATTTATCGATATTAGGAAATGCAAAGTTATCTCTCATGTATAATAAGTCATTAACCCCAACATGAGAAAAACATAAACGTTTATCTCTAGAACATTTATAAAACGTAAGACAGGTCTTAAAGAAATACTAGAATCTGTCTCAGATGAATATCAAAACGTTGTGTGAATATGCGTATCGCCTCAATAGAATGAAATGTCATTGTATGAATTCATCCATATCTCCTTCAATTGAAATGAGTTCCGCAATGACTACGACTAAATGTTCCGTAGTGTAAGTTATATGACAGCATCATTTGCATTACAATAATCCCACAGAGACGACGCATTCAACGGTATCTCCATATATTCATCTCATTGCTTCGCCATAAAATAGTACTTTCAAAGATATTCAAATAAACAAATATTTTCTTTTAAATTTCTCAAATGGATTGTGGTAGTTCGTTCATTTGCATTCGTAATGGGGTTTGGTTCTGAAGCTAATCTATTCACACGCGACGCTAAAATCAAGGAGAATCCACATTTATTCAATTACATGGCTTTGCTGTTTGAAGCTGTGTAGAGTGTCTTGACGGATGGGTATTTGATTCACGTTGATTACTGCTCATTTGAGCAATGTGTTTATTCACACCAACAAATAGAGAACTATTCAGTCAAGTAAATTCAGTCACAAACGGAAACATAGGCAAGAAATTCCAGAACCGCATCATGTTGCTCAAAAACTCTTGACAAAAGCATACTTTTAGGAATACGATCTCATTAGGTACTTCCCGGAAGTCTGTTCCTGATTTTGAAATGTACAAATACAAAACGAAGATCCGTTCAGTCTTATTTACCGATTCAGACTGACGCCAAATGGATTTCATTAAAATGCTTAAAAGCTTTTCCCTTTTCACCAATATCTGAAGAATTTTCAAATTATATTTTTTACGGAAATATAGATATAGAAATGGAAGATTAAACACTATATGAACTCATTTGATTGGAAATCTTAAAATATAACTTTTCAGATCTGTAAAGTTTCATGATTTGGATTTTTATGGCAACTTTTGGATCTATATTTCTCTTCTCCGAATGTCATGTTATTGCTTCTCTCTTCACGGTGTCTTGATTAGCATACGTGTCATGTACGTGACTGCCGTTCGATTTCCAGCATGTACGTTGGCATTAATGCTGCCACACAGCTCCACGATGCAGTTAGTCTTCAATAAATCCTATGAGAATGACATCGTCTGACCAGCTCAGCTAGTCTCAGTCAGTAAAGACCGATACCTCAAAGGACCCTGTCAACTCCGTCTATCGACATGACTGATCATTCTCCAGAGCTTCTAATACAAGTAACACCAATTGCTCTGAGCTCATCAAAGATCTTTCTCAGTCGCTGACAACTATCTGTGAAACTGACAACTCAGTGTGCTGCACAAATTCAGGAGTAGCATCAGAAATACTTGATATTTACATCATTTTAAATAATTGGCATTGTTTGTATTGCTTCATATTCTGTCTTTGATGAATCAAAGACGATATGTCACGATGCCCTATATCAAACGAAAATTGCACCACAGTTAATTGATATGTTGAGTGCATGATAAAGTAGACTTCTGGATGTATATTGACTCGAAGTAAGACTCTGGCAAAGTATTGAACAACTTCAGCTGGAACTCTGTGGAGCCATCCTGTTGCATGACGGTCTTCTGTGGTTTAATCTGTAGCGCTGAGCCACAACGGCAATCGTATTTAGCGTGTACATGCATATATTGACACAAAGCAATTGGCATGTGAATCACGTCTAAACATTGATAGATCTACACGTATGAATCCTTTAAGAAACAAGTACAGGTAAAGAAATGTATTTTGATCCGATGTCAACTGTTTGCGAGAGTAGCCATATTTGTAAATAGAACAAGACCGTTTCCACATCCGTAAGATTTCTGTGCTAAAAAGCAGAGCACATTGTACAAACGATTGAAAACGTACAATATTGTGTGTGTTTGCGCGTGTGTGTGCGTGTGTGTTTGTATGTCTGCGTGAGTACGCGTGTACGTGCGTGTGGGTGTAAGTGGGGTGTTGTGTAGGGAAGGTCATACTTTAAATTCTGTATCAATTATCACTGAATTGATACGGATTATTCTCAGAGATCCATAATAAAAAATAAATACGAAACGACACCAGGTGTTGGAGAAAATAGATGTAACATGATTAATCTAACAAAAAATGAGGTGATGTACCGAGTAAGAGAAGCTTGAGAGCATGCGAAAACACTTTCTTTCACTGAAGTTGTGTTGTTACTGATATAAAAACGCTTCAAATTCTTATCATATTTCATGTTCCATTTCATGCAGCAGCATCATCACCACCATGCCTGTGCATATACTGAAACCATTCCATTCACTCTTCTACTCTTATCATATTCTTTGATATCTTCCATTGATCACATGTGCTCACACATAAGCACTTCAAATATTTACATAAACATATCTCCTCTATTTATTTCAATGGCACAAGAGACATATCAGGGCGAAATATATTTCTAAGACAGTAACGAACGTGTGCGAGGATTTCCTGGCCCACAACTGAAATCAAATTGGTTTCTATTTTTGCTTCCACGGCCCAATACAACAATGCGAATTCCTCGCAAATTATATTATTGATTTTTACAACAGCGAAAATTTCATTAGAACATCGGAGAAATTAGAAGCTGGTATTTTTTTCACACTACACTGTATTTAAGGAGAAAGTGGTCTCTACTCTTAACCTTTCGCACCAAAGACGGAGATATCGTCTTAGTGTGACGCATAAACCATTAAATCCTGATTTACTGCTTTGCTACATAACAGGATGGCTTACAGCAAACTCTTTATCTGTTTACAGCACGATACGTTTCTAAGAGAGGTTACCAGACATGTTTGCTGTTGGTTGGTAGCCAAGCAGTAGGCTTAAATACGAAATATATTGTTTCACAATGGCATTCAGGATACATGCCGTCAACTTGTACGACAGAGTGACTCACAGTCTAACATAGCCTGACATTGCCCTCTTAATGATCAAGCCTGTGTGGTATGGCTTAATGTAACATGTATTGCCTCTCTGATTCCACAAGATATATGTTCCCAAGCCACTGACAAGGATAATATCCAACAAGGACATACACGTATTTCCGTCTGCTGACGACATGGTCGGGCAGAATCCTCATTTCCTGTACACTGGCGTGAACGGGGTTAACCACATTTTGTACATACTGACTGGGACAGGGTTGACAAAAGTACAGATGGGCTTCTGATGGAGGTGGGCATTGTTGACAAAACGAACATTCCCGGCATACGGATGTTGACAGCGTTGGCCAGAACAAACATTACCTTCATGGTGACTGGGGCAGGGTTGACAAAAGCACAGATTGGCCTCTTATGGAGGTGGGCATTTTTGACAAGAACAAACATTCCCGGCATACTGACGAGGGCAGCGTTAGCTAGAACAAACGATTCCTCCGTTCTGACTGGGGCAGGGTTAGCAAAAGCACAGATTACCTTCATACTGACGTGGACATTGTTGACACGAGCAAACATTTCCTGCATACGTATGTTAACAGCGTTGACTGGAGCAAACATTTCCTTCATTCTGACTGGGGCAGGGTAACTGACTGGCATGAACAGGGTTGACAAGAACACACGATTCCTCCATTCTGATTGGCACTGGGTTAACAAAAGCCCCGGCGTAAATAGGGTTGACAAAAACAAACATTTCCTTCATTCTGACTGGGGCAGGGTAACTGACTGGCATGAACAGAGTTGACAAGAACTCACGATTCCTCTATTCTGATTGGCACTGGGTTAACAAAAGTACGGATTACCTCACACCGGCGTAAACAGGGTTGACAAAAACAAACATTTCCTTCATTCTGACTCGGGCAGGGTAACTGACTGGCATGAACAGGGTTGACAAGCACACACGATTCCTCCATTCTGATTGGCACTGGGTTAACAAAAGTACAGATTACCTTCACACCGGCGTAAATAGGGTTGACAGAAACAAACATTTCCTTCATTCTGACTGGGGCAGGGTAACTGACTGGCATGAACAGAGTTGACAAGAACACACGATTCCTCCATTCTGATTGGCACTGGGTTAACAAAAGTACAGATTACCTTCACACCGGCGTAAATAGGGTTGACAAAAACAAACATTTCCTTCATTCTGACTGGGGCAGGGTAACTGACTTGCATGAACAGAGTTGACAAGAACTCACGATTCCTCCATTCTGATTGGCACTGGGTTAACAAAAGTACAGATTACCTTCACAACGGCGTAAATAGGGTTGACAAAAACAAACATTTCCTTCATTCTGACTGGGGCAGGGTAACTGACTGGCATGAACAGGGTTGACAAG